CAGTCTGTCTTTTTATTATTTTTTTTTTTTTTTCTTTGTCTTTGCTTTTTTATTTTATTTTCTTTCTTCTTTTTCTTTTTTATTTTGTTTGTCTTTGTTTTTTATTTTATTTTCTTTGTCTTTGTCTTTTTTATTTTGTTTGTCTTTGTTTTTTTATTTTATTCTGTTTATTCTTTTTCTTTTTTTTTCCTTGTTTTTGCTTTTTTATTTTATTTTCTTTCTTCTTTTTCTTTTTTTTGTTTTCTTTGTCTTCTTTTTTTATTTTATTTTCTTTGTCTTCTTTTTTTTTCTTGTCTTTGTTTTTTAATTTTATTTTCCTTGTCTTTTTGTTTTTTATTCTATTTTCCCTGTCTTTTTGCTTTTTTTTATTTTCCTTGTCTTTCTTTTTTTTTGTTTTCTTTGTCTTTTGTTTTTTTGTTTCTTTTTTCTTTTTGCTTTTTTGTCTTTGGTTACTGTAGCAACATCTCTGCTGCTGCTGCTGCTGCTGCTGCTGCTGCTGCTGCAGTTGCTGCAGTTGCTGCTGCAATGATGCTGCTGAATTTTCTGTTATCGTTATTGCTGCTGCTGCTGCTTCTGCTGCAGCTGCTGCTGCATTTCCCGTTGCCGTTGCTGCTACTTAATTCCCTGTCCTCTCTCCACTGCTGCTGCTGCTGCTGCTGCTGCTGCTGCTGCTGCTGCTGCTGCTGCTGCTGCAGAGGTGCTGCATGTACACCGCGTGTGTAGTTTTTTGTTCGGCAAGGATGAGCGGGTGGCTGACATCTTGCTGCGGCACCCCACAGTCTCCAAGCAGCACGCTGTGCTGCAGTATAGAAAAAATAGTAATAATAATATTCTGTACGTCTTGTCTTTGTCTTTGTCTTTGTTTATTTGTTTTATTTTATTTTTTTTATTTTGTTTGTCTTTGTCTGTCTTTGTGTTTTTTGCTTTTGTTTTTTTTTTGTTTTTTTTTTGTATCTAAACAGCATGCTGTGCTGCAGTATAGAATAAATAATCTTTGTCTTTGTCTTTGTCTTTTTATTTTTATTTTTATTTTTATTTGTTTTTGTTTTGTTTTTGTATGTCTTTGTGTTTATTATTATTTTAAATAAATAAAAAATAAATAAATAACTATATACTCATATATTTATATACTTGTCTATATATGTACATATATATACATATATATATAT